AAGGCCAAACAATTACTGCGATTCGATTCACTAAAGATTCTTGCGATTGTGATTCTACAAATACTACAGAATAACAGCAAACTAGCAATCTTAGAACCAACAACAAAACGTAAACAGATAACGACAACAATAACAGAATACGCTTCGTACTGTCACCGTGAAATGTCACGAAGAAAACTCACCGTCAAAACAGTCGTGAAAAAACAAGTTAACCACTATAATTACAAATGTACATGTACTAGCGACTCCACCGAGTATCACCGTAATGGAAATCTAAAAATTTCGAAAAAAAAAAACGAAATAGCCTGAAACTTCGAAGATTGGTCTGATATCGGTCCGTTCTCATCTCACCACGCTATCATTACCAACGAGACCAGTGCAAAGATAGAGAATTGGAACACAAGGCTCGCGGCTGAATAGGTACCACTTAAGCAGTTTTCAGCTTTCCAAAAAAGCAATTAAATTGACCAAATACCGCTGTATTTGAAATATTCCGGCGTCAATGGGTCCCATCTTTCCAAGCCGTCGTCATCATTGCGTCGCTTCTGTAACCGAATGATGAGACTATTTTAACATTGGATGAATTTCATACACTAGTGAACCTGAATTCGTGTATTATCGTCAACTATCTGTCGCGAAATAGAGCTCTCCAACCACGGCCATTCAAACAGGAAATTGTCGTCCTAAAAGAAAGAGTCGGCACTTAGAAACAAAGCAACAGCAATGCAATAACGAACCCACCTCTTCCGACACCACATAAGAGTTGGAGTCGAAATCATCTCTGTCAGGAACTACTCTGGTTTTCATGGGAAGCTTGATTCTTATGAAGGCTCTGTTGGAACATTTTTTCAGGCATACCACCATAAGAAACACGTTGTACGGGGACCTAAGCATTCTGGCAAAGTTGAATTATTATGATGCAAAATGTTGAATGAAGCTGCTAGATCTATAGACGTGAAGCCTGTGGAGTTGAATACCTGCAATTCATGCAATCCAGCGTCAGTACGTGGTTTCAGAGGGACGCGGACAGTAGAATCACGAATTTCAAGCTGTAACACATTCCTTTTGGACGCCTCGTACACAATACTTGCAATTTATTAACATACATTTGCATTCAAGATGCTTGAAAAACAGAGCCAGCTAACAAAAGGAACGCTTGCAGAGAAATTTTCATGATCAGTGCTACATACAAAGTGCGCAAGAAAGGTAAACGAGCATGGGGCACGATTGCGGATCACTTGCTACTCTTGCTCCCACGAAATTAGAGCAAGAGTAGCAGGGTAGTTGGGCGAGAGTCACTTAAACACCCAGGAAATGACTATGGGTCGACTCAGGTCGAGATAAACCCAGAACAGTTCAGAAAAGAAAAAGGAGTGCAAAAAACATAATTACTTCAAAAATTTGTCTGCTTTTTTAACGGCTAGTGATTTATAATATGTATCGATACCAACTCACAATGAGTCGCACTCCTTTCTCACAGAGGCCACCTTTTCTATCTCTGATGCCATATCTATACCAGACGAAAATCGCAGCAATTTGAAGAAAATGGGACAAATTGAATTCCACATACGGACTAAGCTGCAAAATCTGCCAAGTAATAGCTTCAAGACCTGCAGCTAACACAAGCACATCTTTGAATATCGACTCCTAACAAAAGTGTTCTATAAGTAACAAACTTACATGTGAAGAAGTATGTCTTGTTTGGGTAGTAAACTGTCTGAGTAGGTCCAAAACCAAGATTCGTCAAAGGACACTGGCACATACTTCAAAACCTCGAGAGCATTCCCGACGACGCACACTCCGCTGATTATATCACTATTTAGTACACCAGCGAATGATTCCTCGGACACCTAAACCAGTTAAGGTAGTAAAGGTTGATACCTATAAAAATGCTGGAATTGGTTTGTTTCGCATGAATTTGGTGTTAGGTTACGGTAGCTGCTCGTCGAACGCAAAACAATCGCATCGCCGCGCCGTCGGGGAAATCCCGCTGCCACCTCCCTTTTAGCAAGGCACTGAGGTCATTTCCCATTAGGAAGAAGAGGTTGAATGTCTTGACAACTTTTCTCCACCACTGACGTGTCAAACTCGTCTCCGTAGCCATCGGAACCGCTGCTTTTCACCCATTGGCAATCGTGTGGCCACCCGGCGACCCACACACTATGGGTCACGTGGGACCGCGTGGAACGCCGCTAGGACCACAACAATGAGCTCCTCGGCAAATATTCTTATTCTTTTGAAGCATACAAGCAATAGTTGGGGACAGGGCTTTCAGATAGGCCTACATGCACAACTGGGCTGGGAAGGAGACTACTGGGCTAGCTTTAACACAATAAAACAACAGAATCATTTCTGTAGCTGTTGATGGAAACTAACATTTCAGTAGGCGCGTATGTAGGCTGCGTCGTGAAGGTGCAATGATAGCTATGAGTGCGAGTCGGGTCACCAAACTGTTCTTCATCACAATTGTTTTATTTGTAATGAAGTCCAGTTCGGCGACCCCGTCGTTCAAAAATCAATTTTTGAATGGTGACCTGCATCATGCTTACACAACCCTAGCTTAGAAGAGCGAAGCTCATGAGCAGCAATTTTGTTGAATGTTCCTCTCCCCGATGCTCGTTTTTGAAGTGCACCCTTTACGGAAGATGGCAGTTTGTACACGGCAACTTCCTTCGCAAGAATGTTATCAGTATGCTCATATTCCTAGTTGTTTTTTTAAGACATGGCCAGTGTTCCATCTGCAGATAAGCGCACGGTTATCCTAGAATGGTCTAGGGTAGCCAAACCAACAGCTCAGTAACTGTTATCAGAGCCAATCGAAAAACTGTTCTTCTGAGACTTAATTTCCAGACGTGGGTCACAGCTGCATCTTGCAAAAAATGCACGTGGTCCCAAACTAAAACGCGTGGTCGTCAATGAGTTAGCAAAGAAATCTTTAGGTGAAAGCTCAAGTCATATGCTCTAATTGATAAAGCAATTCCCAAAAGTAACTGAGCATACCACACAAAAAACCTTTAATTTTTTCTCTGTTAGTCTTACCAAGTGACATTTAATACTGCTTGCTATGTAATAAGCATGTGACAAACACAAGTCTCATACTATCGCTTACCTTATAGATGACAGCCGGCACAGATTTGTCGCAAGTAAATACTATACGATCAAGAAGATGAAGCTCGACCAGCGCCGCATGATCGATCATGGGATCACGGAATCTGCAAAGA